TCAGACGTGTGCTCTTCCGATCTGTTTAAGCGACGCTTGTTTGGGCAATAACTGGACAGCAAATTTAGTCAGTTTCTAGCTAGTTATTGGTCAGTTTTTAACTGGATTTTCCAAAATATTTTTTGAAAAAAATTTTAAAAATAATTAAAATACCTTTTTTTTCACTTATTATCATTTTTCAACAAGTATTTATAAACTTTAAATAACTTTTATCAAACACTCATAATTTTTAAATATACTTTTATTATAATTTTTTTCAAGTTGCAATGGTGGGTTTTGAACCTGGATCGCTGGATTATGAGTCTCGCATCTTGTCCGTCATACCACTTCGAAGTACCGATATACAATGCTTTTTATTGCCTATATAAGGTATAATCAATTATTGCATTACTTTTATAAATTATTTGTTATTAATTAAATCTATTAATTATCTCTTAATTTTTTTAAATTGTAATTAATAGTAAAAAACATAAATAAATAAAAAAATAATGTAAAAAATGTAAATATCTATATTTTTCATAAAATAATACATATATTCATTTTCAGAATGCAATATAGAGATCAAAATAGCATTATAAAAATTATTAAACCACTCAATGTTTGTAACAAATTATATTACTAACCGGTATTTATTCAGTGCTCAAATAATTCATCCCATTCCATAGTATACTCACACCATATTCATACCCATCTCATACCGATGCCGAATTCATACTGTCCCATATGAGTCCTATGTATTATCATTCTTACCCTATGTGTGTTACCTATATGTATACATTTTTATATAGGACTGTTACGGTCCCATATGGGGCTATTACGATCTTACGTAAAACCTTTATGGTCCTTCGCAGGACCTTTATGGTCCTTCACAGGACCTTTATGGTCCTTCATGGAACCTTCATGATCCTTCACTGGACCTTCATGGTCCCATATGGAATACCTATGGGAATTTGCGGCAGGGGGATACTGAGATTTATTAACAATTGCCGAAGGATTCGCGTACATCGAGATACTGAGTTGAATGCAAAAGAGATTGCTGCAGCCGAACTGCTTCTCTGTAAATTGACACAAAAGGAATCATTTATGGGAGTAAACGACTCGCGATTACAAGGATTAAATGTTTTCGAGGAAGATGGACTTATACGTACAAAGACGATAATCTCCAACAGACAGGATACTTTCTGGTTTAATTGTCCTATAATATTAAGCCCAACACATTCACTGACCAAGAAGATCATTTATCATACTCATTTGAAACTCAATCATGTCGGTGTCAGCATCGTGATGAATCATCTGCGCGAGAAGTTTTGGATTCTCCGATATCGTCGTACCGTGCAATCTGTTATTTACAAATGTACAGTCTGTCGTCGATACGCCGCAAAGAACATGGAGGCTTCGCCGGGAACATTACCTGAAGATAGAGTACGAGATGCCGCTGCGTTCGAAATTGTCGGCATTGATTATGCCGGACCCCTTTTCTTGAAAGGTGGACGTAAGGCCTATATCTGCTTATTCACATGTGCAGTATACCGCGCAGTCCATCTAGAATTGGTTACATCTTTATCTACGGAAGAATTCTTAGAAGCTTTCCGAAGATTCATAGTAGAGGAAGACCTTCGATTGTCTACAGCGATAATGGCAGAAATTTTGTGGAAGCCGCGAATTTATTACGGAAAGTCAATTGGCAGAAGGTTTCGCGATATTGCGCTCTTGAAAGGATAGAGTGGAAATTCAACCCTCCCTCAGCGGCATGGTGGGGAGGATGGTGGGAGCGTCTCATTCGTCTTCTCAAAGATTTACTGAAAAGAACGTTAGGAAGAACTTTGTTGGAATATGAAGAGATGAATACAGTCTTGTGCAACTGTGAAGCGATTGTTAATTCAAGACCTCTTACTTATCTAACGGAAGAAAGCACGGAGATTGCCGCGATCACTCCAGCTATGTTCATTAGCGATATTCGAGAAAATGGTATCCCGGATTTGGATCAAGTTAACAGGACCCTC